TCAAAAATTGGTATTTTTGATTGTCCTAAATTGGCCTCGATTGGCCTAAATTTTGATATTTTTATTTTAGCAAAGGATTTCTCGAATATTAAAACCCCGTTGAATTTTTTCATTGATGTTTTTAGTATTAATTTTACTCTTTTCTAGGCCATGGGAAATATACTTCCCATCAAATTTATTTGTATTTAACCGTGACTGAAAAGCTATTTTCTCACTTATGATTTTTACAACCATTTGCTCATAACTTCATAAAAAAGAGAAAATAATGAAGTGCTTTGTTTACAAATATGGGTAATAGTAAAGGTTAGCATGAGGCCAAACAGAAATTGACATTTTTGATTGTCCTAAATTAGCCTCGATTGGCCTAAATTTTGATATTTTTATTTTAGCAAAGGATTTCTCGAATATTAAAACCACGTTGAATATTTTCATTGATGTTTTTAGTATTAATTTTACCCTTTTCCAGGGCAAGGGAAACATACTTCCCATCAAATTTATTTGTATTTAACCGTGACTGAAAAGCTATTTTCTCACTTATGATTTTTAATACCATTTGTTCATAACTTCATAAAAAGGAGAAAGTAATGAAGTGCTTTGTTTACAAATGTGGGTAATAGTAAAAGTTAGCATGAAGCCAAACAGAAATTGATATTTTTGATTGTCCTAAATTAGCCTCGATTGGCCTAAATTTTGATATTTTTATTTTAGCAAAGGATTTCTCGAATATTAAAACCACGTTGAATATTTTTTATTTATGTTTTTAGTATTAATTTTACAATTTTCCAGGGCAAGGGAAACATACTTGCCATCAAATTTATTTGTATTTAACCGTGACTGAAAAGCTATTTTCTCACTTATGATTTTTACAAACATTTGCTCATAACTTCATAAAAAGGAGAAAGTAATGAAGTGCTTTGTTTACAAATGTGGGTAATAGTAAAGGTTAGCATGGGGCCAATCAAAACTTGATATTTTTAATTGGCCTAAGTTGGCCCCGATTAGCCTAAATTTTGATATTTTTTTATTTTTGCCAAATATTTTTCGACTATTAAAACCATGTTGAATTTTTTTTATTGATATTTTTAGTATTAATTTTACCCTTTTTCATTCCATGAGAAACATACTTCCTATTAGATTTATTTATTCTTTACCGTGACGGAAAAGCTTTTTTCTCACTAAAGATTTTTACGACAATTTGTTGATAATTTCAGAAAACAGAGAAAGTAATGAAGGGCTTTGTTTACAAATGTGGGTAATAGAAATGGTTAGCATGGGACCAAGAAGCTCACATTGGAGAGTTATTTTGTCTTGTGCGTCAAGCTTTGGTTCATTTGATTATTTATCATCGATTTTATTTGTATATATTTTCACAGAGTTTATAATTTCAGTTATTTTTAAGTACAGATTTTCAGGTTTATGCTCAATTGTTTACAGTAGGTAAGAGTTTGAAAAATCATAAATCACTTTATCCAAAAAAAAAAAAAAAAAAAAAAAAAAAAAAAAAAAAAAAAAAANAAAAAATAATAATGGTCTTAAAAATTAAATAATTTTTAGGTAATAAGAGGGAAGAAAAATATTTTTAAAAATCAATTTCAATCTAAAAAAAAATTATTTTAAGGCAACATTTCAAAAAATGGTATGTTAAAACGATTTGTTCTTTGCCATTTTCGATGAACGGTTAAGAACATGCAAGAAATCCACTAAGTAAATAAAATAAATATTTACCCATTGAAAAGAAAATTGATTTAATGCAAATTTTTAAAAAATGAGCTCTTCTTTTTTTTATTATTTTATTTTATTTATTATTTTTTTTGCTGTATATTTTTCGAACATAAATTGCTTTTATGAATGACAAGGGTGTGAGTCTAAGATGAGTAAAATTTATGAATCCAAAGTAACTTTTATTATCTCCAAAGTAATTCATTTTGGAAAATGTCCTATTCCATTCATTTTTCTCAAAAAAATTAAAAACTGATAATTCGAAGAAAAAAAAATTAGTTTTCGAATGTGAATTAATACTCTTGAAGTAGTTTAAGGTACTTACATCGAAGTACAACTCCATTTCTCCATTTGCTTCGAATACTAAAGATCTTATATAATATTTTAAATTTTTTATTTATTATTTTTATTTTTTTATATTCATAATTTCGTTTAAAAAACTTAACGTACGTACCTCATATTCTGCCTTTTTTTAAAAAAACTATAGATGAAAAACTAAACGGAGTTCTTAATTTTCATTAAAAAAGGTTACTTCAAAATAACTGAAACATATTAAACAAAATTTTGTAAAGTTTTCGTATGTAGAAAATGTTCTTAGAAAAGCCTTAGACTGTATTTAACGTACTGATTAAATAAAAATATAATTTGTTTCACAATTCTTTCGCATTGAATTTTTAATGGTAAACTAAATAGAGCAGGGGAGAGTGGGGTCAATTGTAACAGGGTACGATTGTAACACAGCAAAAATTTCGAGTGTCGGGTTCTAGATTTGGTTCCTAGGTGGCGCACAAGGTGTATTTAATAAATCTACATGTACACCCCTGATGGCAACCATTTTTATGTACTTTTGAAAGAGTTAGATCACAAAAGATATTTTCACGCCACGCAAGTACTTTTTTTGGTATTAGAATATTATATTGTAACAAAGTAATTTTGTTTAAACAAATAAAAATTAGTAACCGAATATGTAAGTGGACACCTTAATTAACATTTCAATAAAAAAAAGATTAGTTTTGCTAATTAACTAGCATTGTTTTTAACAAATGAAGCTGAAATGGCGTCTTGGGGACAATTGTAACAATAAGTAAAGGGACGATTGTAACAGCTGAAAATAAATAATCTTATGTTTACAAACCATTACTTAACTCTTTAAGAACCACCAATAGTTTCCTATATCATTTATATTATGTTGCATGTGCATTATTTTATTTGTCACCTTTCACAGCATAAATTAAAATTTTTAACCCCTTAAAGTTAAAAGTTTAACCCTTTAGGTCTCTGCTCATTATTATTTTTACTCCTAAAATATCACTACTATTTTGATCAATAAAAAAATATATCACAACTATGATAATATGTATAATTAACTATGTTTTAGTTGAATTTATGAACTGTTACAATTGACCCCGTAAGTGGGGACAATTGTAACAAGTGCACGACTGTCAAACATTGTTAATAACTAATATAATAACATTTAAAATAAGGTATTTATTTTTTTTCTAGTAGAGGATAGTCTACTTTACTCGTCTGTCAATTAATACTAATAATATATTGGATTTTTGTTAGTTAAAAATAGTTAAGTAAAAAATGTTACAATTGACCCCACTCTCCCCTACACCATACTAGATGAAGTACAAAAAGAAATAAATTAAAATTCGTTACTGTTATGAAAAATGAAAATATTAGTAAAATTATTTTACTCGCTAATACTTAGTTGAATAATACAATCACTTGCATCTTAACTTAAAAAAAAAAAGAAATACAAATTACTTGTATTACACTTGTATTTCTTTTTCTTCTCTACAGAGTACCTGCTGCATCTACGCACGAGAATATGCGGAATACTACGTGAAAGTGCAGTACTAAACTAAAAGTACTTTCTAGAATGTTATTTTGTATTGCAAGTGCGAAATACTGTTAGGCATAAAATGTACAGCTGTGCCAAGAAATATACTTAAGTTATGTTATAATAATTCTTTCATATTTTGTCTATTTCATTTAATAATATTTCATTAAATTAAAGCTAATACTATGAAAAGTAGAAGTAATAAATGATAAAAAATAATTAAGATACATCACGCAAGAGCATTTACTAAGAACAGTTCAGAAATTTTAAAAATAATAAAAATAAAACATCCTGGAATATTTTGGAACTATGCAACTGAAAAATTTTTTGTTTCAGATATCAAGAATTATATAAACATAAATAAATGAAAATAATGTTTCATATTAGAGAGTTGAAGAATTCAGTGGGGCATGAGGGGTGGGGGACTATATTTAAGAGAGTCAAAATAATAATAATAATAATAAATTTAATAAAATAAAATGTATAGAACCATCGGAAAACGGTTTATTTGGACTTTGTTGAGTAAATACTAAATATGCTTTCTTATAGCTCACTGCAAAATTCTTTGATATTATATTATATTATATTATATTATATTATATTATATTACATTACATTACATTACATTACATTATATTATATTATATTATATTATATTATATTATATTATATTATATTGTACTAAATGATTAAATGATTATAATTATTTAACTGATTTTAATAATTTGGAATTTTAAAAAAAAATTTCGCTAGTTTACTTTAATATGTAAGGCACGATGTTTCAGTGGTTAAGGTACTAAGCTGTTATTGTGCAGAAGTTGGTCTTAACCTTGGTGATAGCTTGAAGCCTATACAGCTTTTCAGATCGGTAGGTCCAAGAAATACGCTGTCTGAAAATTAAAGTGATCGATGTGGTATTTTCGATGTTAATCACATTACTCTCATTATGCAATTGGTCCGGCGCCGCCCTAGTTGTTTTCAAGATCGTTAAATCTTAGCCTTCATAATTTCCTTGGCTACCAAAATGGCTTGTCTGGAGTCCTTTAATTTTATTTTAACTATAAATATACGCCAAGAGAATTCAAATAAACTATAAATATTTCTCGTTAAATTTATTAATTCTTTGTTTATGAGCAAATGCAGTCTACAGGCTACTTTCTACAAAATGTTTTACCCATATCGAAAAGTGTTTAAATTCTTTTAAATTACTTAGATTTTTTTTCCTTCTGATTTGTGCAAAGATTAAAGGGAGACTATTGATCAGAAATAAGCAGGCATTTTTTATTTCGTAGTTTTGATGTCGGAAAATTTGATATTAGATTTTTAATTGCACTCAAATGAAAAACATTTTAGAAGCTACAATTTGTAATATGATGGATAAATAAAATAAAATTTTCAAAGAATTATATATTAGCATATTTTAATATCCATTTTTATTTACAGTTATTTGACTTCTTTGGTATTTCTATATAATTTACAACATATATACATTATTTCTATACCCAATAACATTATACAGCAAACATTAAATATTTTTACACAATTTCCTGGTATTCTCGTATCTACAAATTTATTGTTAGATTTTATCAAACGCAAAAACATAATTATTTGCAAAATTTTAGTGTTTTTTTTTTCAGAAGCAAGTTATAATTTCTTTTGATTTATTGTAAATAGTTATATACATGATATTATTGTCTTTACTTCAATAGATGCAAAATAAATAAAAAATTTTTAATAAAGTCTTGATGAACTAGAATGTTGCGTTTTTTTATCAGCCGCTTGGACTGCCCGTTTGCCACGATCTATCTGACAAATCTACTGCTTCTTGGGTTCTATTGCATGTTTCCTTTATAAGCTGTTGATCATCAGGAGTTGTGCTCAAGTGGGTATCACTATCAGGCACCAGAGAAAATGTCCGCCTGCACTGTAAGCATCCTGCAGGACAGGGCTGCAGTAGGAGATGCGAGGATTGAGCAAGAGAATATGGTACATAGAGTGATGATTCAGAAAGCCTTGGAACAGATCCAAAAATATTCGTTTCTTCATTAGTTCTTGCTGAAGTTGTTGCATGTGCTGCTGGAGGTGCGAGAGGTGTAAAAGCTGACTTTATAGATCCCAGAGTAAGCCTGGGCATTGGTCTTGGCACAAAAGGCACATCCTGATTGGTTAAAGTGTAACCGTATGAAACTGGTGGGTGAGGTAGGAACATTGCATCATTGGCAGACAGAAAATGTTCAATGGCTTTTACTAAATCACCATTGGTGCCTTGGAGAACAAGTTCCATGACGGTCTTCTTTTGGTTTGGAAAAATTCGATGTAAGATTTCTATTGGACTTAATCTTCCTGGTCTGAAATCTGCTGGAAGTGCTCCAGGACTTGGAAAGTCTGAAGACGGTGGTCGCCCGTTGGATCGGGATTTGCATTTGTTTTGCTCCGGATGGCAAGGTGACGAACCATCCATTTTTTCTAGTGTTACTTTCTCTGAAAAGAAAAGAAGAGTTCTCTATAAATTGAACAATCAACTTCTTCTATAGCTATATAAGATAAATTCTTAAACTGATAGATCATTAAAACTAGCATAATTTTTACACTTACTACCTTGAAATGGTTTGATATGTTTATACCGCAGTACAATTCAAAAAACTACGTAAGTTCTTTACGATTGATTCCGAGAAAAGTGACTTAACTATTTTCCTTCTACTACTAATGTTATGAACACTAAAATACAATTTCAAATGAAAAAAAAAAGATAAAAGAAAACTCGTTCATCTATTTATTTTTTTAATTGCAATATGTAGCTTACCATACGAAGATGCCAAATATATAGAAATCTCAATTTTGAATTTTCTGTCGCTTAAGTTGATTTTTCAATCACACGGCAGTAAAACTTAAAAACATTTGCGTCATATTAACAGGATAGGATGCTTTTCTTACAAAAATATAAAAAAAATCGTAGTACAGTAAGCTCCCAATTGTCGGCGGGTGCATAATCAGCTTTTTTTTTTTCCTTTTTTTTTTTTTAATGATAAGCAGCACATTTAGAATTGAAAGTAAAGTCACTTAGTTAATATGTAGTACATTTGCTATTATGGAGAGTACATTCTGGTTAACATTTAGTCCATTATGGGGCGATACATTCAGTTATCTTTCCATGAATTCGCATATATTTCTTAACTTTTGCTTTTAAATTATATCCATGCGGGAATTTTAATAAAAGTTGTTTTTTCTCCCATTGTATATCTTTTCAATAAACGAAATTCAGAAAAGAATTTTCTTTCTTCTTCTTTTTTTTTATTTTTTATTATCGAAAATATATTGTAGATCATTGGTTAATATTACAATTGTGGTAAGTTATTAATGCACTTAGTTAATATTCACTATGTTTGTAAAATTACCTTTTCATTAATTCGTATGTTTTCATTTTTAACTCGTATTTTTAAATCATGTCCATACTTGAATTATAATAAAGGATGTTTTTTCTCTCATTAGTATCTTTGTTTTCAATAAACGAAATTCAAGGAAGGAAAATCCGTTACCGTATTATCGAAAACATATTGTATACCTTTGACTAATTTTACAAAAATAGTAAGTGTTAAAGCACTAATGCCTCTATCACACGAGAGAAAAATATGTGCAACTGCAAGTGTAACTGCAAGTGTAAGTGCAACTGTAAGTGAAATTCCTCCGTTCGGAGTTGCCGAAAGGGTTGCTTAATTGCCTGAACGGTTGCATGAAATTGGGTTACCATATTTTGTTATTTATCTTTACTTTTGGCTCATATTTAATTTTATCATATGATTCTATTATATCATAGTTTCTCAACGATGTTCGTAAAGATGCTGTAGAATATTGATTGATTTTGATTTAATTTTTTACATTTGTATTTGTGTTAAGTCTTTTCTTCAGCAGGAAATTAAAATTNCTTTTCAATAAACGAAATTCAGAGAAGACATTTTTTTTTCGTACTATCCAATATATATTGTAGATCGTGGGTTAATATTACATGTGTGGTAAGTTATTAATGCACTTAATGAATATTTACTATATTTGTAACGTTACGCTTTCATTAATGCTCATGTTTTCATTTTTAAATCGTGTTTTTAAATCATATCCATTCTTGAATTATAATAAAGGATGTTTTTTTTTTCTCATTAGTTTTTTCGTTTTTAATAAACGAAATTCAATGAAAGAAAATCCTTTACCGTATTATCGAAAACATACTGTATACCTTTGGCTAATTTTACTAAAATAGTAAGTGTTAAAGCACTTTGTTAATATTTAGCACATTTACAAAGTTGTCTCTCTATAAATTCGTACATTTTCACTTTTAACTTTTATTTTTAAATCATACCCGTACGTGAATTCTAATAAAAATTGCTCTTTCCCTCCATTGGATTTTTCTTTTCAGCGAGCGAAATTCCAGGAAGGAAATACCTCGTACGCCTCAACAAAAGTATACTGTATATCGTTAGCTAATTTTACAAATGTGGTAAAAGTTATTCATGCGCTTAGTTAATATTTACTTCGTTTGTTAAGTTACCCCTTCATAAATTCGTATACTTTCCTTTTTTATTTTCGTTTAAACTGCCACATAAAAAAAAATCAATGAATATTGCAAACATGCCCTTAAAAGGCTACTGCTGTAAAAATGTGAAAGCAATTTAAAATTTTAATATCGCACAAATAAGATATCTGGGGAAAATATCTTCAATGAATCTTCGAAATCGAAACCTTGACCAAAAGAATCTTTAGCATTTAAGAGCACTTTTGTAGTAGGGATGACATAACAACAATTCAATGTTATTCAGTTGCAACAACATTGTCTGTACTTGTTTCATTAGTCTATATATTTTATTATAAAGAACATTGCCTCGTGTTGAAATAAAAAGAATCATCTTCCGTTATAATTGTTTCACATAGATATAAAAGAGTAAAATATGAACATAAAAGTAAGAAATATAATTTAGACTAATTTACATATTCATTCTATAAAAAATATTTTAAAATATTCTACAGTTTTTAAAAAATACGTTCCCTTCCAATATTAAGTTTACACAGGCAAAATTGATACACAACCTTATAAAATAAAATCTATTTTNTTTAGACTAATTTACATTTTCATTCTATTTCATTAAATAATGATGAAAAAATATTTTAAAATATTCTACAGTTTTTAAAAAATACGTTCCCTTCCAATATTAAGTTTACACAGGCAAAATTGATACACAACCTTATAAAATAAAATCTATTTTAAAAACTGCTAAATTAAATTTATTCTGCCGATTTCGATAAATAAACAGACAAAAATTCTTTTAAGAAAACAGCATCATTTTTCTAATCATTACTTTCGTGATAAAAAAAACCCTCTTTAGAATAAAACTAGACAAAATTTCCATAAAAGTGTTACGGCAAATAGATTCTATTCCAAAAGGAAAGAAACCATCATGAAATCTCTGTTCTAAATCTTTCTCAGCAATCCTTTCGGAATAAAACTTTTGTGGTGGTAACGCAATTACTGTAATTCTTCCGCAAAAGTGACGTGTATTATTTGTACGAGAGCATATATTGAAGAGAGTTTCGCCTTGGCGGTAAAATAAAAAAAAAAGAAAACTAAGAAAGCCAACTAATTCGTTTAGTTCCCGTGTTTGTTAGCTACCGGTCCGTAAGTGGTCTATTCCCGAGTGGCCCAATGTCGATAGGCCGCCAGCAACTCGACTCAATAATCTGATCTGCAGTTACTTTATTTACTTGATACTAGTCGTTGGCTGGGAGGAATGGGAGCTCTTGGGACACACCCTCATCAAAAGGCGTCGATTCATTGATTCTGTTGAAATGGTATGACGGCCCGTTACTTAAGATTTCATGGGATCTGCATTCCATGATTGCAGAATGGAAGAGGGACTAGCTATGATTGGTTGAAATAAATCTTTGTTTTTAAGAAATAATTTATCTGAAGATATTATCTGAATGATTTTAATGCTTGTTAACTATATTTAGGTTATTCAATGCGTGATAATTATTATTCGAGTTTGTTCATGATTTTCTGAGATCTAACTCCTTTGATTGTATAAGTTGCTGCGGAATGTAAAGAATTCTGCTTTCATTGTGTGGAGGGAATGTTGACAAAGCTAATGATTTTACAATTCCTTGGCTGTGTTCGTATTAGTTGCTTCAGAATGGAAAGAATTAAGTTTTCTTTAGGGTTCGTACTCACCAGGAATATCCAGAAAACCCTGAATTGTTGAGAAACGTAATTTTAGCTCAAAACCAGGAATTCTCAGGGAATTTGACACCCTGTCAAATTGATCGATTTCATTCACTTTTAACCGTAATTTGCGCTTCCGCAATGGACAATTAAAAAAAGTCCGTTTTTTTCCGGATCGACCGTCATTAGATGAATCCTCAAGATTCTATTGTTCTTCGTTTCCATAATTTTAAAATTAAAATTCTAACAGTATAGAGTTGTAACTGTATTTTTGAATAAGCATTCTTTTCAATTGGACGAAAATAAGTAAATAAATAAAATAAAATAATAATAATATTGAAAGGAATATGTTAGGGAATAGAGCATTGTCCAAGAGAAATATTAAAAGAACTGTTGGATTAAAAACGGAAGCTTTAAAAATTTAATTATGAAATTAGGATACAAAATAACAATATTTATTATTTTAAGATTTTAAATATTCTTCCAATTTTTCTCATGCAAAATAATTCTTTATTTCCACGTATGACATAACGAAATATACTAAATACCACTATCTCAAAAAAATATCCCAAGCAAAATTTTCAGTTTTTTTGCCCTAAAATACTTCAATAATGTGCCAACGAAATGTTCCCAAAAAAGCATATTCAAACAAAATATGTAATTTATTATTTTCTAAACATTGATTTTATGTAAAGTATGATTTTTTTAATATTATTATTCTTACAGTTTTTGAAAATATTAAAAATATTGGGAGCATTTTTTAATCTCACATGGAGAAAAAAATTCTGGTAAAACTACTGTACTGTATCGCAAAGACATTTCTGGTAAACAGAAATATAATTCTGGTTATGAAAACAAAACATACGGTATTTAAACTATTCTTATGGTAAAAGACTCCTTTCACATTGTAAAGGTTTACCGGAAATTCTGGTTTGCAAAATTATAGTTCTTATTGCCCCACATTCAGTATAAATACAAAACTGAAAAGTAAGTTTAACTGAAAAAAAAAATGGTTTTTGGAGCATGTTCTATAGTATCGTGATAAAATCTCCAAGTTTTATCACATTTACCAAATTTTAACATGCATTCTAAAACAATATTTTAATGTTAGTTTTACCGAAATCATTGCCAAAGAGCTGCAGTAAGGAGTACTGTACTTTTTGGTGCTTTCAAAGAGCTAGAAACACGGTAATTTTTATCATATTCTGGGAGTTATGACCCTGTTTTTCTTTCTCGGTGCATTTTTAATTCATCTTCTTTTAATTTTTAAGTCTCG